CTATCTGATGGGAAAGTTCGGATGAGTCTCGTTGAAGCCATGGCCTTGCCAAAAACTCCGACAGTTGAAATGACGTTCAGCAGCAGTGCCACCCACGCCCCACCGCACTGTACGACTGTACGGACTCCTCTGTCCCTTGCTCCCGACTCACAGTCGCAAGTTGCAAGGGGTTGCAAACACGACTCGGTTGGGCTGCTGCACGTCAAACGCCGTGAGGGTGTGGAGCCGGTTTAGGAACCGTTTGGTGCAGGTGTGAGTCAAGTAAGCAGCAGCTCTATGCTAATATCTGGGCAAAAGCTGCTTGCGCACTAGCAGTCACTAGCATTCTTCCTGCGACATGCCGGCTAGATGCCAGCATTGCACTCAGGGACACAGGCAAAAAACTGAAGCACACCGACCAAAAACTGAAAAAAACTACGGCGGGGGCGGAACAGGAGTGGACCGGCAATGGGAGCACTTGTGGACGTAGTTGCATCGGAACAACAGCACAATCATCTGTCGGAGAGAATGCACCGGTTGTCTCGGACAGATTACAGCGGATTCATCCGGCTGTTGCCGAATTTTTGTCATTCTTTGTGTCCTCTATTTGGTTCTCCCGGTTCTTCCGCCCGTGTAATTACAACATAATGCCGGCTCATAGCTGGACAAACGCCGCTGTACTCATGGTATTGAGCGGGGTAACGCAAGTGAATTGTAGGCACCTGAATCCTCCTACAAGGTACCCTGTATCACGATACCTTAGGGTCACTTATGAAAATTAAGATTCTTATAATCTTCCTATTATTACTATTACTACCATTAATATTACTATGTGATTACGATCCTTTCAGATCGGAGCCCTCAGCCCTAAACTCCTGAGGTCTGGCTCGTGGTGAGGGCGATGCCGCGGGCCCACGCGGGAGGCGAGGTGGGAGGCTGATGGGAGACGCCCTGATGCCTTAGGCGCTTCTGAGGATGTCGGACTTTAGGGTTTAGGGTTTAGGGGATTTCGGCTTTACGGTTTTGGGGCTGAGGATTTCGGATTTACGGTTTTGAGTTTTGGGGTTTCGGTGGGAGAGGGTGGAGGACAATTTGGGAATTGAGGACTGGGGTTTAGGGGTTTAACAGGGGGAGAGGTGCTGCTGTCGGACTACAGGTGCCAAAATAGGCTCTGTCCGGATGCGTCTCCTAGCTGGACGGATTGACAGATTCTCATGATGAACGCAAAGCAAACGTAACTTCTGAAAAGAGCATCGAAATTGCCACGCTCAGTGCCGGAACCTGCAGGCGATGAAGATGTCGACGAAGAGTCTCCATCCACTTCAGGGCTGCAGAGATGTCTTGAGAATCGCGTCGCCTCCTTCCTTCCACCCTGGACGGAGAGGTTCCCCGGGCGTGGAGACGGGGAGCAAGAGGCTTCTGATGGATTCGTGGTTTCCGGATCCGTGGAGACCTGCAAGGTCAGAGGTATCTCTGCCTTGCCGGCGGCACCTCGCAGGTTCACATCTTCGAGCTTCGGAGGATGTGGACGGATGCCTGCCAAGGAAGCTCTGTTCGGGCTTTAGGGTTTAGGGTTAAGGGGGGCAGGTGACTGCAGCCTTGAACCAACAACCCTAGATTCAACCCGTATGGCAAATCCAACCTATGGAATTCATGAGTTGAGGTGAAGGGTCTTTCGGATGACCTTCCGCAAACCCTCCAAACCCCAAGAGCCTCCAACCTAGCCTGTGAACCTCCCGACACCCTAAACCCTCAACCCTAAACTCCGAAAGAAACAGAAAGGTACGTTGTGGGGGCCCGTGCTTTTTGTGTTGATTCGTGTCAAAATCATATACTGTAAATATGGGGCCCCCAGGGCGTTCCACCCTCAAAAAAATAAGATCCTTCTCCCAGCCTTCTTGCTCGCATGTCACGGTCGGCACGGGAGGGGGTCTGGAGGACGCCGAGCTCCTCGACACCCAGACTCTTAGGGTTGGGCCTAAAGCCTCCTTTGAAGGGTACCGTACGCTTTAGGGTTTAGGGTTTTGGGTTCGGGTTCTACAAGGGCTTGTGGGGGTTAGAGTTTAGGCCTTATAGGGTTTTGGGCTCCGGTTCGAAAGGTTTCGGGTTGAGAGGGCTTATGGAGGTCGGGGGACCTTCTCTGTAAACGTTCGCCCTGTGAGTTGTGGGGTGGGGCCTGAGAATCTCGGATGTAAGGTTTCAGGAGGTTTTGGACTTCAGGTAGTATCGGCCATTAGGGATTTGTGTGCTCCAGCTTTCTGGTTTTCCTGTCGTGACCGCTTCAAAGCAGAAATCTTGCGATCTCGAGGAATGTAGGGCATGGCTAATCATTACGGGTCATCCTGGCCGTCATAGGACTGAACACATTCTGAGATTATGAACACGCGTGCTGGCATCATAAGCGCCAAGCCTTAAGCCCTAAACCCTAAACTCTAGCACTCTAGCCCATATTCCAAGCACCTAACCTTAAAATGTAAAGTGTGTTTGGGGTGTCTGTACTACTTACCAAAGTCTGTTTGTGAACTCCCGAGAATCATACAACACATTCAGACACCTATCCAGATCTTCCTATATCCCTGAATTCAGGAGTCTACTTTAAATCATAATAGGAACCCTAATTTGATCTAAGGTCTATAGCTTCTTCAAGCGATGCTGGAATGGGTCTATTGCAGTTGCTGGGTTTCCGCGCGGTGGCTGCTATGGGCTCCCAACAGCGAATGGACCCTGACAGTATCCCAGAAGAAAGCCTGAGTATTGAGGAGCCTTGAAAGTTTCGGAGTTCAGGGTTTAGGGCTACAGTGTAGGGTTTAGGGTTTATGGCCGGGTTTTTCGGGTTTCGGGCTTCGGAGGCTTTTGGATGTACAGGGCTTGGGCCTTGGGGTTACGGACATCCGGGTCAACATGACTGTCATATGCAGCTTCCCTCATTCCCTGACATGAACCCGTGAGGCTGCGGTACGTAGAGCTGAAACACGAATGAGCGGGCTTTCGCGACTTGGTTCAGGGAGTTAGTGCCGAGATGCCCTTGAGGTTATAGGGCGATTAGGGCTTAGCGTGCGATGTAGCGCAGTGACGATCTCAGGGTTCATGGTAACGCCCGGTCCTGCCACATGCTAACTAGCCTTGTCAGTAGGATCCGTATGAGACGGAAAGTTACCAAAACCAGGTGCGAGTACCCCTAAAAATTTCAAGACCCAAACAGCACGACCTTCAAACCCCTATGAGCCCTAAACCCTAAACCCATATCCCTAAACCCTAAACCAGAAACCCTGATATCCCTAAACCCTGAACCCGAAACCCTGAACCCTAAACCCTAAACCCTAAACCCCTAAACCCTAAACCCTAAACCCCTAAACCCCTAAACCCTAAACCCTAAACCCCTACACCTCTCCGCCATGTGGGGGTTTCCGAAAATAGGGGACCCTAATATAGTACCCCAAATAATAGGATCCTGATTATAAGGACCCCATAATAAGGTACCCCTAATTTTCGGAAACTCCCATGTCCTAACCCTAAGCCTAAACCCCTAAACCCTGAACCCGAAACCCCTACACCCTAAACCCTGAACCCTAAACCCTATGAGCCCTAAGCCCTGAACCCTAAACCCTAAACCCCTGAACCCTATGAGCCCTAAACCTTGAACCCTTCTCCGCCATGTCCTGGAGGACGGGGTTGAGGGCGTGGAGAGGTCCCCGACAGCTCGAAGCGCCGGGCTGCTCGGCACCTGCTGCGACCCCCGAAAGCCAAAAGGGACCTATAGTAGGGTTTGGGGTTTAGGGTTTTGGGTTGTTTATGGGTTTGGGGGTTTTGGGTTAAGAGGGTTTTGGGTTGAGGGTTTAGGGTTTTGGGTTTAGGGTTTAGGGTTATGACCCCTAAAGCCAAAAGGTACCTGGAGTAGGGTTGAGGGTTTAGGGTTTAGGGTTTAGGGTTTATAGGGTTTAGGGGTTTAGGGTTTTGGGGGTTCAGGGTTGAGGGTTTAGGGTTTTGGGTTTAGGGGTTTAGGGTTTGGGGTTTGAGGGTTTAGGGGAATTAGGGTTTGGGGTTTGAGGGTTTATAGTTTGGGTTTAGGGGCTTAGGGTTTAGGGTTTAGTAAGGTTGAGGGTTTAGGGGACCTTGAAGTAAGGTTTAGGGTTTAGGGTACCTTCAAGTAAGGTTTAGGGTTTAGGATACCTTTAAGTAGGGTTTAGGGTTTAGGGTACCTTTCGTGGGGGGCTTTACTAATTAGAAGAGGGTGTTGGGGGAATATTATTATGCTATAGTTATAATGAGGAACCCCCAAGATATAGTATTGGGCTGCTTTGTAGTACAGTTATAATCACGAACCCTAAGGAATAGTATTGGAAATTATTTAGGCTTCAGAGAACTACCCATACAGCATACACGGCGATATGCCCAGGTCTTGCAAGGGGCTCCTGTTAGGTACTTGATAAGGCCTAAGACTATGCGATATGGGGGTTTCCGAAAATGGGGACCCCAATATAGTACCCTAAATAGTAGGATCCTTATTATAGGGACCCGAAAATAAGGTACCCGTATTTTCGGAAACTCCCATGCAAGCACATGGAGTCCTATGGGAAGGCGCAGCTCAGGTTGTGGCCTCGGGTTGCACGTGTCACGGTTTACGGAGTTAGGGTTTAGAGTTTAGGGTTTAGGTCTAGGCTTTAGGGTTTAGGGTTTAAGGGTGTAAAGCCTTTGCAGAAAAAAAGCCTTAAAGCCTTCGAACAGAGGTAAGATCAAAGATTGACCTCTTGTGAATCTACTTGTGCCAGACCCTATAGCCTATCAGCCTTGCACCCCAGACTACAGCATAAATAGACAGCAAATAGACTTCGAACACTGCTAACAAGAGCAATCATACCCTAGGTCCGGAGACCCCAAACCCTAAACCCTAAACCCCTAAACTCATCCTAAACCTTCAGTCGAATTAGGCCCAGTCTTTTTAATGGCCTTCGGATGGTCGCACGGTGGATGCCGATCGTTCAGAGAGGCTGTCGTCATCATCGTCGCCTGTCGGGGAAAGTTCTAGGGGCTTAGGGCTTAGGGTTAGGGACAATGGAGGCTGTGGGTATTTCTAGGGGTCCGCTTCTGAGGTTCTACGGGTCGAAATAAGTTCTCTAGTGGCTCTATGGGCCCTAAACCCCAAGACCATAAACCTCAAACCCCAAATCCGAAACCTAATGCCCAAACCCTAAACCCTAAACCCGAAACCTAAACCCCAAACCCGAAACCCAAACCCGAAAGCCTAAATCCTGAACCCCACACCCTAAACTCCCATCTAATTTCAGGCCCTTGCCTCAACTCCGTCTGCCTTTTAGGTTTCCCTGCTTCCCTGGAAAGCCATCCCTCCTAGAAGGGTTTAGGGTTTAGGGTTTCGTATGCTATAAGTAGAGTTACAAGCGATTGCCCAAAAGACTCGTAGACAAAAACTAAGTCCCCTAAGCCTTCAAGCTTTGCTAAGAACTCCAGAACCCTTCACCCCGCCCCTCAAACAAAAACCCGAACCCCCTGTGCCTTGCAGCCATCACAGCTCTAAGCCCGTCAATCCCGATATTCAGGTCAATACTCAGACTGAAATTTGCGTGCACCTGCGCACTGCACAGCTGTGAACCAAAAACACCCTGGGAACCGATGAAGACTTTGCAAACCTGCTTAAAGGATCATGGGACTTAGTAAGTCGGGTTTATAACTAAGGTAACCATACTTATAACCCCAATTAGGGGACGTGTAACCTTACTTACTAAGTCCCATGATCCTCCAAGTGTCGGAAAAACAAACGTATCTACAGGGATCCCGATCTTACATCCTAAACCCTAAACCCCTAAAGCCCGTAAACCTCTATGCCAAGGTGTCCCTAAATAAGTCTAACTTAGGGTTTAGGGTTTAGGATTTAGGGCTTAGGGTAAAGCACCTCAACAACACCTAGAAGTACCAATAAAGCCTCATCTGATGGCACCCCGCATTACCCCTAAAGCCTAAACCCGGAACCCCCAAATTCTGAACCCCCAAACTGGCCCTAAACCTTAAACCACCACATTACCCTAAACCCCTAAACCGTCAACCCCAAACCCCTAAACCCTGACACCTAAACCCCTCAAGCCGGAACCCTAACACCCCTACACTACCCTAAACCCCTAAACCCCTAAACCCTAAACCCCAAACCCCTGAACCCTAACACCGAAACCCCTCAAGCCTAAACCCTAACACCCCTACACTACCCTAAACCCCGAAACCCCTAAACCCTAAACCCCAAACCCCTGAACCCTAACACCGAAACCCCACAAACTTAAACCCTAACACCCCCTAGAAAAAGCACAAAACCTAAACCCGAAACCACCCCAAACCCCCACGCATTTCCAGACAACTCCCGGCTAAAGCGGGTATACTAAACCCCGATAATACCCATAGGGGTTTAGGGTTAGGGTTTAGGGTTTAGGGTTTAGGGTTTAGGGTTTAGGGTTTAGGGTTTAGGGTTTAGGGCTTATGGTAGCCCTTATATAGAACCTTTTACAGGAGCCCTATTCCAAACATTAAGCGGGCCTCTTCCACGAGCTGCCCGGGCAGACTCAAACGGCGCGGAGAGGAGGGCGCCTGGGTTTTAGAGTTCCGGGTTTAGGGTTTTAGGG